CTCGCGAGTGGGTCGATCCAGCTCGGCTCTGCTTCAAAGACGGGAGCGACCTTTTCTACCTCACCGAGAATGCTGGGCCGAGGTAAGTCCTCTATGTACACGGTTCTCATGGCGTTGTAACTCGTGCTGGCTAGCCGGGACAGGGCATCGGCCTCAGTGTTCTCTGACCTCGGGATTTGCCTGATGAAGTGTGACTAGAAGTTGAGCAGAGCCTCCTTTACTTTTGCCAAGTATGCAATCAGAGTGAGCTCGCGTGCTTCGTACTCGCCTGTAACTTGGTTGACCACGAGCTGGGAATCACTGCAGATAACAACGTGTTTTGCTCCGACCTTTTGTGCTAGGTTCAGCCCGGCTATCAGCGCCTCGTTGTTGGATGCCACGAACTCAAAGCGTAGTGTGTATTCCAACTTTGTTCCGCTCGGGCCGCGTAGCACTATCCCAGCCCCGCTGCCTTGCTGGTTCGAGGAGCCATCTACGTGAAGGATCCAGGGCTCCTCATCCCAGTTCGCGTTTGGTCTAACAAGGAGAGATGCTACACTGGCTGCTACTCTACGGGGTTCAGACTCTATTGGCTTGGGAGCTCCGAGCTCGCCCAAACTGGGGATCTCGGGCTCGACCGCCTCAGGGGCTTCGAGGCTAAACGTGCACTCGGCGATAAAATCTGCAAAGTTTAGGCCTTAAGAGCAGTTCTTGGCTTGTACTGGAGGTCGTACTCGCTGAGTTCGATGGCCCATTTCGTCAGTCGACCGGAAACCTCGGGTTTGAGTAAAACTTGTCTCAGAGGTTTGTCAGTCAGGACGATGACGGTGTGAGCCTGGAAGTACGGGCGGAGTTTCCGAGCTGCTATCACTAGTGCGTATGCTAGCTGGTACCTTGTCTCTGCTCCCTGCAAAGTTTTACTAACATAATAGAAGGGTCGCTGGACCCGGTCTGTTTCTTTTATTAGTACCGAACTGACCACCTCGTCGCTTGCCGAGAGGTACAGTTCTAAGGCCTCGCCCTCCTCAGACCGGGCTAGGGTTGGCACACTAGCGAGGTAACCTTTTAGCTCGTCAAACGCGAGCTGGCAGTCTTGGGTCCACTCGAACCCTTTGCCTTTGATTGCTTTGAAGAAAGGTAGGCAGC